TTTTTTTTTTCTTGCGAATCTGGGGAAACTGAAAGCTTTTTTAGAGCTGCACTGCTGAAGGCCCCATTATTCCTTTTTTCCTTTCGCTGCTGCTGGGCCTCATTCGTGACCTGCCCTTTCGAGAGTGGGCTGGCTTTCGCTCGTATACAAAAGCCCACTTCCGCAGGTCCCCAACTGGCAACCATGTCGTTGGCAGCAACCTCCTCTCCGGCCATTCCCATCCACGCGAGGACCTCCTCCCCCGCCGCATCTCAAAATTCTTCCCGGAATTCTTCCTGCGCCTCACACCGTGACGGATCGAATGCCAGTAGCCGGAGAGAAAGCTTTTCAAGTGGCTCGATAGTGGAGGACATCGACGGTATAGCACAGTCATTTGTCGATACACATCTTGAGCATTCTCAGAAGGACGGCCCCAAAAACTACTTTGAAATGCAGCAAGTGCCAGACTTTTGCTGCCCTTGCGGCGGGTTCTTAGGCTGGAAGTCCATAAAACTGGGAGGGAAGGGCCTTAGCAGGAGTTATAGTGACCTACGATCCCTTGCAAGTATGAGTGCTCGCGGGTGGGCTTGGGAAGACACTCCGGCTATTGCGACGCCGACACAGGAGACGAAGCAAGAAAAGATACAAGAGCCCGGATCATCACTTCTCGAGAAGCTACCCTCGGAGATTCTCGGTAAGCAGTAGTAACTATACAGTATCTCTGACTGCCCTGCCCATTGCTGACTATTTTGTAGACCAAATAATCTCACACCTCGCATTGGACGTTCCACCAAACGGTTATACGCCGCGAAATGTGGACTTGATCTCGTGCCTTCTCGCCTCGAGGACGTTGCATGCGGCCACTCTAAGCGTGCTGTACCGGAACATGACATTCCCGCACTCCATCATCTTCTCCAAGGCCCTAACCCACATGTCGCAATATCCAGCATTGGGCACCCTCGTCCGTCGCCTCGACTTCTCTCACTTTACTTCCGTTGGCCTAGGCCGCACCAAGCAGATGAACTCTGAGATCCAGAACTTGACGCACAGGACCCTTCTGCAGTTCCTAGAGCTCCTGCCAAATCTTAAAGAATGCTTGCTTCAGGAGCACCTCGAGGGCGACATTAGCGCGGAAGTGATTTCGAAGTTGTTCAACGGGCTACCAAATCTGGCGGCTATTGACTTCTGCGGTAGCTCTTCGTCTCACTTCTCAACTGTCTTCCAGCAGGCTTTGAGCTCTGGACCTGGCCTCCCTTTGACTCTTCCCAATTTACGGCGGGTTTCGTTCCACGAATGCAGCGGCGTCCCGTCCTCGGCCTTTGAGGTTCTCCTCCCTCGATTGGTCAACCTGACTCACCTCGATGTCACTCACACTCAGATCAGCGAAGATGCGCTGTTTGCCATTCCGGAAACCGCCAGGATCACTCATCTAGGTCTTTCGCGGTGCATTCGTCTCGGGGGGCCGCGGGCTGTGGAGTTTTTGACGACGCACCCAGCTGTGCGCGACTCTCTGGTGTACCTGAACGTCATGACTGACGCCTCCCGATACCGGCTTCTGGAGGAAGAGGATGTGAAGAAGCTGCTTCCGAAACTTCCGACCACGCTTCGCTCTCTCAACCTTGGCGGTGCCAAGGTCACCTCGGCCCACACCGATGCTTTGATTCCTTTGACCAAGCACCTGGAGGAGCTGGGTCTTAGCTCGGCAGACTTGTCGGTGCAGGACCTTAATCGCTTCTTCGCACCCCCAGCTGCCACGGGTGAAGCATCGGCGGCAAAGCGGTGGGTACCGCCCTCGCTATGCTACCTTGACCTCACCAAAATCAGCCAGCTGTCGGTCGGCATTGTATTCAACACCAATTCTTGCCTCTTGCTCACAAAGCAAAGCTACCCTCTCCAAGTCATTGAGTTCAGTGACAAGCTCATCATCCCCCTACGCGAGAAACCCAAGAACACCAAGACCTCTCCTGACTGGACAGTCCGTGAGTTGGGCCGCCGTGGATGGTACGTCCGCGACCCTGCTTCGATGCCTGACACGCCAATCGATGACGGCTGCCGGTCTTGGAAGATGGGTGCTAGATGGTGGGGAATGAAAAAGATTCCTGTTGCTGTTGGCGACGTTGGGGGACTCTATGGACATTACATGTTCAAGCGGTGAATGATCGATACCTGCGAAAGCATTGGTTTCGCTCGAGAAGTCGTGATTATACCCCATTTTTCTTGCATGTCATATTATTTGTTTGTCCATGTTTGGTTCTGGGTTTGGTTCTGGGTGGGATTTTCTTCTGCATTTTCAAGTTCTGGAGCATAAAAGTGAGCGTCTCTTTTTCATTTCATGATTGAGCGTGTACTTTGTTTTGGCTGCATAGCGGAAGCAAGATTGTTCCCAGGCGTACGGCGTTTCTGTTGTTTTCTCCCCTTGATTCAGTTTGAGACGATCATGAAATGTGTCAGCGTAGTGTTTAATATACCGAGTTGGCAATGGAAATGTTAAATTATGGAAAGATATACTTATATGGCCAAATAATACTTGCAAGACTAAATATTGAAAATGAGGCTCATCTGAGCAGAAGTCTAGCCCGGTCACGTGCCACTGTATTCAAGAGCTTCAGTCCCAGACGCTTCAACTTCTCTTTCACCTCATCCAACGACTTACAGGCGCACCGCATATCTTGAAGGAGGTTGTCCTTCCGATCTTTATACCAAGCGCCTCCACTGGGGTTCCTTCCCTCCCGATGGGTGGATTGCTCTCCTCCGCCCAGGACAGTGGACGCTGTCGACTACGACCACGATGATGGCACCTCCGAGCGGGTCGGCGGCATACAAGAAGAAGGATGGCACCCTGACGATGTCGTCAGATCGCCAGTCCGTCTCATGGATTCCGGCAGCCGGCGGTGCATCTGGAACGATAACGATCTCTGTGACTCAGATCAGCAGTGCGTATTCTTTTTCTATTCCAGTTATCAATGGCGGAGGGAGGTTCTAACGGCTCCAGATCTACAACAGACACCCGCGAGCAGTCCGAAAGTTATGCTGAAAATATTCGTCCTCCCTCCGAACGATCCCTCCGCAGCTCCGGAACAGTACATATTCTCATTTACGGCTGGCGCGACGGCCAGAGCGGAAGCGGACGCCATCAAAGATGCTCTCAGCGCGGCGATTCAGGCGGCCAAGTCCGCGCAAGCGACCCCGGGCCCGGCTACAGCGAACGGCGAAGGAGGAGGCATGTCGGCGGCTATGGCGATGGCCAGTGCGGTCTCGTCGGCAGGAGCAGGGAAACACTGGTGGGACGACGATAAACGGCTACGGACCGATGTGGAGCTTCAGCAGTCGCTGTTGAAGGTGGATGCCAATCTACAGAAGATGTTTATGGAGTCACTACATACGAAACCGGATACATTATCGGCGGGCCAGTTCATGTCGCAGTTCTGGTCTACGCGGCTGCATCTCCTTCGCGCGCATGCTATTGAGCGGTCGCAGACGCGGGGCTCTTACAATGTGCTGTCGACGATGAAGCCGCGGACTGAAGATAATGTTACGAAGCTGAATATTAGCAAGGAGCAGATCCAGCTGATTTTTGCTCAGCACCCGCTTGTCAAGCGGGTGTATGATGAGAACGTGCCGAAGTTGAGTGAATCGCAATTCTGGTCGCGGTTCTTCCAGAGCAGACTGTTTAAAAAGCTGCGGGGAGAACGTATCTCGGACGCAGATGCGACGGACGCTATCTTGGATAAATATCTCAAGGCCGACGAGTCTGGGAACCTTCCGCGCGAAATCAATGTACCGCATTTCCTTGACTTGGAAGGAAACGAAGTGAATAACAGTCAGCGTCGAGGAAATCGACCGGATATTGACATGAGACCGTCAGCCGTGGAGAAGGTGCCGATTATTCGCACACTGAACAGCCTGAGTGAGAAGATCATGGCGAATGTCGCACCCGCAGATCGAGTGGCATCAGCGCCTGTAGGGAAAATAGACGACGGGACATACGATGAGCTACAGCTGCGCGACTTACGCGGAGAGGAAGCGCAAAATCGCATTAAACTGAACATACAAGACCAAAGCCGGTTCTTCTCAGCGGCGAAGTTCGCGGAAGACGAACGCAACCGGCAATTAGCTCAGCAGGATCCAGAACAGATACTGCAGGACCTGCGCACTAGCATTGCGCGGAATTTTCACGGCGACGGATCAGCCCCATTAGGCAAGTTGGTCGATCCAGACGACGACGATGATGACGAAGACTCTAAAACTAGCTCCCGGCATCACCGGCATCTCGCGTCCACACAGATTCTCGACGTGATCAAGGACCGCCGAACCCAAGCACAGACTGCGTCAGACGCAGACACTTTCGGACTGACATCGGCTCTGTACGACCGCCTGACGCTCACGCACGCCACCACCACAGAGTTCCTGCATCAATTTTGGCAGGCTTTCTTATCCGGTAACCCAGATCGTGCAAGCGAGGTTGCGTCGCTCGTGGAATCGCTCAACCGCGCCATGGAGCGGATCAATGCCGTTGCGACGGACGCAGAGGCAGAGCGTCAAGTCGAAGTGAATAAGGTAAAACAGCATGCGCGCGAGGTGCTGCAGGCGACAGGGAAAAGACTACGCGTTAATTTGGATAGTATACCCGGGGGCGAGCAAGCAGTGAAGCGTCTGTTGGGGCCGACGATCCGGGCATTGGACACAGCCCTGACGCGGTATAAAGGGGCTTTGGCTGAGGAAACCAAGAATATAGATCCTAGCAATACCTGACGAACATTTGCAGCGGAGAATAATAACAGCATGCAATTAAAAAATAAATCATTCCGAATGCCCTAGGTATCTAATAGCACTACGTATATTCTTTGATCGGCATGCCGAGGTCCCATATATACTCCGAAGCAGCAACAACTCTTGATCTTCCGCCGCTCTCTCCGCAACGTGTCTACTCTCCGCCATCACCAATCCAAACTCACCACAGCACTCAACCGCAAACCATCAACAAAACCCAACTAGCCCCCCGCGCGGGCTAGGTCACTCCGTACTCAAAATGCAGACAAGCGGGCTCACAAACGCACCCCTCACCAAGGCGCTCCTAATCTACACAATCGCCGCCTCCATCGCGCTCTCCATCTTCGACATCAAATACCTCGCCTCCATCTACATCTCGCCGCATCTATTCCCCTACGGCCAATTCTGGCGATGCCTGACATGGCAGATTGCTGGTTTCGCGAACTCCACGGAGGCCCTGTTCGCCGCGCTGCTTGTTTACCATGTCCGCGTTGTTGAGCGGGGGTGGGGTGCTCGGAAGGTCGCTGTACGTTCTCACTCACAAACCACAAAGCCCTCCTGCACTCCATAGATGGATAGATTTGCTAATGCACTGGGTGATGGCTAGACATTCATCCTCTCAACCCTCCCCTACACGACCCTCCTCCCACCCCTCCTCCTAACAACCGTCATCAAACCGCTCTCGCTCGGCAAGATCAATTACCTCCCCTCGGGCCCAACAGCAACGATCTTCGCCCTACTAGCGCAGTATCACGCCTCGATCCCCTCGACATTCAGATACACGATCTCGACGTCGACAAGCACACCCAAACCCACCCCCAATGCACAGGATGCACAGAATGCGACGCCCAAATCCTCCCCGCTCACACTCTTGCTCACCGACAAGTCAACGACGTACCTCATCGCCGCGCAGCTCTCGCTCTCGCAGTTTCCGTACATGCTGCTGCCCTCTGCGATCGGGTGGATTGTGGGCGTTGCGTGGAGGGCTGAGGTGTTGCCATTTGTCGCGGGGACTGGGAGCTCAGCTTGGAGGGTTCCTGCTTGGGTTGTTGGGGAGGAGAGCGTTGCGGTTTCTGGTAGGAGTGGTGGTGGTGCTGGGGAGGCTGGGTTTGAGGGGTTGAGGAGAAGGCTGGAGAGTGAGGCTGCGGCTGCGAGTGCGGCTGCGAGTGGGAGTGCAGGTCCTTCCGGGTCTGGGTCCAGCAGGCAGAGGGCTGCGAGAGGGTGATTTATCTTACACTTATGCTGTTCCATCAGTATGTACTATAGCGCTGTACGCGCTTTTGGAAGAAGTGTTGAGAAAGACATGCATTGTGATTGATCATGCTCCAAGTTCCAAGGTATCCGCTACGTCTATCATGATTTATATTGCTGAAGGAGATCTAAACCGGGTGAAACAAAAGAAGCAGAGGACATCGCCTACCGCCCATTCCGACTTCGGCGCATATTGTCCTTGCACTCGTTACAATACCATTTGACTGAGAAAAATTAGCACGCGAACTTCCCAGAAAGAAACGGAGACAACTCACCATTCCGCCCAGGCGGCTTCGTGAGCCCAACACATGACAGATGGAACCACTCGCGGGGACACGCATCATTGTCACACGCAACCATCTCGCCAAAGCTAATTTCGTTACAGTAGCAATATCGCGGTTCGCCCTCCTCGTCCTCGTCGTCGCCTTCGTGGAGCGACTCTTCCGGATCCGATACTGGTGGCGGTGGCACAACCGGCGCGATGTTGCCGTTCTTCTTGTGTGAACGTTTCGGTGCGGGGTCTGTACTCCGCGTAGGGCGCGTGCGCTGCTGAACAGGTTCTGCGGAGGCGAGTACGGGAGTGGAGGTCTTGGAGGAGGCCCGGCCTTTGGGCGCGCTGGTAGCGACTTGCACGGGAGTTTCGGTACGTTCGATTGATTCCGTGGGTTTCGCGTCGATGTCATCTCGCTGAGTGTGGGGTATTAAGGACTTGGTGGGATCGACGGATTCGGGTACATCCCGGTGAACATCTGGAAGAGTGACCATTTCTGCTCTGGATGGGGTATCTTTTGCTTGCGCCTTGGTTTCGGTGATTTTCCCTACGATTCAAGGATCAGTGAAGCTCCGAAGGGTTAATGACTATGAACCTACCGGAGCTGGGTACGCGATTAGACGCAGAAGACGAGGGCCTTTGCCGGGCATTTGCCTGCACCGCAGTTTGCTGTGTTCGGGAGGATTGAAGTCGCGAAGCGCCAGGTCCGGGACTGGCTGCACTGCGTGGGATACTCGCAGCGGCCGCAGCGCCAATAAGCGGAGATGGAGGGATAACGGGCGAGTCCGCTGTAACGACTCCGGTGTTGTTTCTTTTGTTGTTAGCCAACTCAGCCGAAAATAAATCCATGTAAGCATACCGTTTCCGAGCAGCTGCATTAGTATTGGGTGCCCGCGAGCGTTTCTTAGTCGCATCAGTAGCATCCTTCGACACTGCCCGCCCAGAGACTCCTGCTCCGCTAGCAGACCGTTCCATGGCCGCGCCGGCCTCCGCAGTAACAGGCCGTTCGACCCTGCGGCGTTTCGCCTGGCCCGATCCACCCGCGCCAGATTGGTTGTGTCCCAAAGAGCCGTGATCACCCCCAGCAACACGACTCTTGTTACTCTGTCCCTTCCGGGATCCAGCAGCTCGGGCATCGTCCAGATCCGAATCCGGCTGCGCCCGACGGTGTCTGCGGGCGAGCACGGCCTCCCGTCTCGCCTCGCTGCGCGATGCGACCTCTGCCTCATGCAAAGCATGCGCAAGATCCTTGTTCGACGCAACCTCTCGTCGAGGACGCTCGTTTGTGGTGGTTTTGGAAGCATTCCGGTTCGAGTAAGCCCAGTGAGTGAGGCTGCCCAGGCGGGCCTCATCACTAATCTCGCCGGCGATAAAAGGATATATGGAGTCCAGACGCATGAGCTGGCGGTCAAGCTCATCGTTCGCATTCGAAATCACATGGTTTTTCTCGTCGGCCGTCATCATAAGGTCGGAAAGGGTATGTCGGACACGGTCGAAAAGGACGCGGCGGTCCTTGCCCTCCGGGGATTCAGCAAGACGAGAAGGATCCTATCACAGAACATAAAATTAGCATGAATAGCAATAATGCTTTTGCGTTGAACGTACCGCAGGCAAGAGACCATCTCGAACTACACCCTCAACGATCGGCGCAGGATTAGACGGGCATGGAGTTGACTGAGACTCCGAAGAAGCCTTCAATAGCTGCAATAAATTATCCTCAAGCGCCCAGGCTTTAGCATCGACCTCCTTGAGCAACGAATTGTGCCGTCGAAATTCCCGCGGGAGGGCGGTTACGGCGTCCGTGAAATGTGTCAGTGCAGGGTAAAAGCCGTGGGGAACAGGCGACGAAACGGAATCGCCCATCGACGAGTGACCGTAGGCAAAGGAGGAGCGTCCAAGCGTTTTGGATGTGCGCGAGGGGTTCGTCCTCGTCTGGCGCGCCGACTGACGGGCATTGTGACCAGGAGCGCTGGCGGCCGACGGAGCGACGGCAGACATTGTTAAAAGAAGACGGGCAGCGAGAAGAAACTTCCAGTCGGGATCTGATAAGAAGGGTGCAGTAATGGAAGACTAGAGCATCCACAGCAAAAACATCGACCGAGAAAGCAGAAATGGGCTAACGAACGAGGTTGGAAACAAATGCAGAAACGAGACGAGACGGATGCGAAGTGCGGAGAAAGGACTGATTGTAGGCTGAGGCATCAACTGATTAGCGCCTAATTACTGAGGCAGAAGACAGTGACTAAGCGGCGTTCGAATGACATCATTCGTCGCGTCGCGTTGGAGTAGTACGTAGCGAGTAGAGACGAGGAAGTATAAAGAATGCTCGATAGAACAACGTAAATGCATATTATACCAACGTGTGTTTATTTTACATATACGCAAAACACGCATTCTAGGTATACAGGCCAGCCCAGGATATACTCTACCAGGGTCAACCCCAAATACCAATGCCCAGCGCACCCAGGACAGATGCAAAACAGACGGAACGACAAAGTACAAAGGAAAGATCAGTCATACAGTGGAAACCAAAATGAAGTAGACGCTGAGCCCGCTCCTTTCTGAAATAAATCACTTAGAAGAAAAAGAAGAAACGCATGCCTCGCACAAGTCTACTCGCCCTTCAGACGCTCCTGGTGAACGGAGAAGGCATCCTCGAGGAATTCTTGCTCCTCCTTCAAGTGAACAGACTTCAGACCGGTGGCAACAGAGGCACTTGGTGAGCGACCAGCGTACATGACGTGGCGGCGGTTGTGGTGCTCAGTCTCGTTCAGCAAGGTCTCAATACGGGGCTGGACATAGCTCCATGAACCGGCGTTCAGGGGCTCTTCCTGGGCCCAGACGATGTTGCGAGCGTTGGGGTAGCTGTCGAGGTTCTCCTTCAGTTGAGCCCAAGGGAAGGGGTGCAGCTGCTCAACACGGGTGATGGCGGTGTTGCGGATGTTGTTGGCCTCACGGTGCTTGGTGAGAGCAGCGTACACCTGACCAGAGCAGAGAATGACACGCTCGATCTTCTCAGGCTCATCAATGGCGGTTCCGTGAGCAGGGTCGGGAATGATCCATTGGAAGTGGGAGTCGTCAGTGAACTCCTCAATAGATGAGCGAGCAATGGGGTGACGGAGTAGAGACTTGGAGAAGAAGATCACGAGGGCTATACATGATTAGCTTGGGCTCCTGGTAAAGGGACGGGAACAACATACGCTTGCGGAATTGACGGTGGATCTGGCGACGCAGCAAGTGGAACAAGTTGGCGGGGCTGGTCATGTAGGCAATCTGCATGTTGCAGTCCTGGTGCTGGCGGTCAAGCTTGTCCTTAGAGGGGAAGACACGGGGCTCCTCGTTACAGAGCTGGAGGTAACGCTCCATACGGCCGGAGGAGTGCTCAGGACCCTGACCGTCGTAACCGTGAGGAAGAGACAGAATCAGACCAGAGCGCTGCAGCCACTTGGATTCACCAGAGGCAATGAACTGGTCGATGATGCACTGAGCGTTGTTGGCGAAGTCACCGAACTGGGCCTCCCACATAACGAGGGCGTTGGGGGAGGTCAAAGAGTAACCGTATTCGAAACCGAGACTGTAAGAAAGTTAGGCACATAGACAAAAGTAACAAGAAACTACTTCAGGTGAACTCACGCTCCGAATTCACTCAGAGAAGAGTTGGAGATGACGAAGCTACCCTGGTCCTTGCTGATGTGCTGGAGAGGAGTGTAGGTAGACTCGGTCTCCTGGTCGTGGAGAACAGCGTGACGCTGAGAGAAGGTACCACGCTCGACATCCTGACCAGATACACGGACGTGGTAGCCCTCGTTTACGAGAGAACCGAAGGCAAGAGCCTCGGCGGTAGCCCAGTCAATGTTCTGACCCTCCTCAACGGTCTTCTTACGGTTGGTAAGAATACGCTTAAGGTTGCGGTGCAGGGTGAAGCCATCAGGAGCACCGCTGATCTTGTCGGCGACGTTCTTCAGGATAGAGGGCTCGACAGCGGTGGGGAGGTGAGGCAGAACTTCCGTGGCAAGCTCCTTGGGAGACTTGAAACCGTTCCAGGCGGAGGTCAACCACTCCTTACCGGTGGGCTGGTAGTCCTTGCTGCGGTCAAAGCTGTCATTGAGCATTCCCCAGACCCACTTCTTGTGCTCATCAATGTCCTCCTTGGTGAAGGTGCCCTCGGAAATGAGCTTCTCAACGTACATGTCAAGCTGGAGCTTCTTCTCGGCGACACGCTTGTACATCAGAGGCTGGGTGAAAGAGGGCTGGTCGGTCTCATTGTGACCCTGCTTACGGTAGCAGACAATGTCAATCACGACGTCGCTCTTGAACTCGGCGCGCCAATCGGCAGCAATCTGGCAGACGTAGTTGACAGCCTCAACGTCATCAGCGTTGACGTGGAAGACAGGGGCATCGATCGACTTGGCAATGTCGGAGCAGTAAGGAGTGGAACGGGCAAAGCGAGGGTCAGTGGTGAAACCGATCTGGTTGTTCACAACGATGTGGATGGTTCCTCCAGTGGAGTATGCGGGCAAGGAGTGGAAACCCATGGTCTCGTAAACAATACCCTGAGCGGCAAAGGCAGCATCACCGTGCAGCAAAACACCCATAGCGCTGTCGAAGTTCTTCTCATCCTTGTTGTAGTGCTGGATAGCGCGGGTTTTACCCAAAACAACTGGGTCCTCGGCTTCGAGATGGGACGGGTTGGCAACAAGGGAGAGCTGCACGCGCTTACCAGATGGAGTGGGACGCTCAAAGTTCATACCCAAGTGGTACTTGACATCACCGGAGCCTTCATCGGAAGGCTCGGTAGAGCCGGCGAATTCACTGAAGATGGACTCGTTGGGCTTTCGGACGACGTTGGACAGAACGTTAAGACGACCACGGTGAGGCATACCGATAACAATGTCCTTGATGCCGTAGTCGACACTGCGGTCGATCAAAGCCTTCATACCAGGCACAAGGGTCTCGCAACCCTCCAGACCGAAACGCTTGTCGTTGGGGAACTTGGTAGCAAGGAAGGTCTCAAAGCTGGAACTCCAGATGAGACGGTCGAGAATGCGGCGTTTGTCATCCACGGAGTACTTGTAGGGCTCTGGAACCTCGAAACGATCACGGATCCAGTCGCAAGGCTTGCGGTCGGGGATGTGGATGTACTCCACACCATACGAACCACAGTAAATCTTCTCGCAAGCAGCAATAATTTCACGTAGAGACATCTTCTTGCGGCTCTCGGTAGCGAAACGAGGAAGAATACCGGGACCAAGATCGAATTCTTCATCGAGATCGCGCTCGGTGAAGCCGTAGTGGTCCAGCTCAAGCTCCTTGGGCTTGCTGTAACCGAAAGCCTCGGCCTCACCACGGATACCCAGAGGATCAATCTTAGCCTTGTGATGACCACGGGCCTGGTATGCGCGAACAAGCAGCTGGACCTTCAGGTGTTTTGTGACGTCGGTGCCTTGGGAAAGGCCGAGACCAGCACCGGGCATCTCCTGGTGGACGCCGCCAGTGGGTGTGGGAACGAGAGTAGGAGGGGGCTGGAAAGCTTGGGAGATGGGCATCTTGCCCTCCTCCATGTTGCGGAAATATGTCTGCCACGAGATGTGGACGCTTGACGGGTCTTTCCTCCACGCGACATACATCTCATCGATATAGTTGGCGGTGTTTCCTGAAAGGAAGGAATCGCTGGCGGCCTAATAACGAGATAAGATTTGAGTCAGTCCATTGTCAACAGGCGTCGTCAAGGAGTGCAGCCTTACCACACCGGAGTCCTCGGCGGACGAAGCATAAAACCTCTTGCCAACAAGGGCGAGAGGCCGGCGCGTGGCCAAGCCGAGCTTTGAGCTCGAGTCGGCACGTCTGATAGTAGAAGCGAGAGACATTGACCGTCTACATGAAGAGCAGGCAGCGCCGCGAACGGTGGCCTTCATGGCGGTAGAACGAAACATTTTTCCCGTATTGAAGTAGCTCGCTCTAACCGGGAGAGGGAGCTGGGGACTTTTATGACGTCTAAAAGTCGCGCAAAGCACAACGACAGTTGTAGAGGAGAAACGAGGTGTAGTATAAAGATCAGAGACGATCGAGCTCTATCGACGAGTCATAAAAGATATAGGTCAGCAGACTGAGCTTTGCATGGATAGTTGGCGGCAACGCCCGGTTGAAGGGAAGGTTTTAAAAATGCACGGGGCCACGAACTCAACTAGTAGTCAAAACAGGCCTCGACTATTTTTGCCGTAGCACCTGTAAAAAAACGGAACTCATCAGAGAGAGCAGAACACTCTCTGGAAACAAAATGTACTGATTTGGAGGGGAGATGGAGGAAAGGAGGATCGCAACCAAGAAGCCAGAGAGCAAGCAAAGTTGTAGAGTAGGACGGCCGGCTACGGCTACCAGTACCGGGCTACAGCGGGCGGCTTCTAGTGGCTGAGAGGTGTGGCGAATGAGACCCAGCGCGGCAGCTGAGCAACGTGACGGCGCCGACTGGTACGCACCGCCACACCGGCAAGACCATTTCCCGCCAGTTCCGGGTCTTCGCGGATACTCTACAGTAGTCTACAGCAGGCGATGATATAACGGCAAGCCGAGAGTGTAATACAAATAAGCAGGCACAATCAAGAAGTGGTATTACGATTATGCAGCCTATATGCAAACAACAGTACATGACACACCTCAAAATGCCAACAGATCCCAGCCAAATTCTCAAATCATAGCGTCATAGAATAGGTATACAAAGCGCTAATAATCAAAACAAAATAGTAAAATACAACAAGGTGGATATATATAAGCAAAATATTAACCAGTATGCGAAAGCCGGCGGCAAGGTCTATGAGTCTCCGTCTCCGGCGATGGTCCGCTCCGTGCGTTGCTGGGGCAAATACGCCCATGTGCTTTTGTCGGATTCTCTGATAGGAGAATCCGACGGCCCTCCTAGAAAGTCTGGAGGAACGGTATGAACTGTCGGGCTCACATCGGATAAGGCAAGACTGCCTCTATTCGACGCGGGGTATTGCTGGGGAGGAGGGCTGCCGCTGCTGCTGCGAAGACTGCCATTGCTTCCACCCCAGGCGTCGCGTCGAAGCTTCATGAGAGCGCTCAACGACATCTCGTCATCTATGCTGTTTAGATCAACGAGCTGGGCAAGGCCAGGGCTTGATACAGATTGATTGGAATGGGCAACCCCATGAGCATTGACGGAGATGATTGAGTTGCGTGTACTCCATTCACTACGCTCCGTGATAGGCGTAAGGCTGGGTTCTCGGAACTTTCCACGACCACTGTGAGAGCGAGAGATCCCTTCTGCGCCCCGGGGACCAAAATAGCCCCCATTGGTGAGCTCGGAGTTCGCAGCACCATACGCCTGCGCATAGAAACCAAACTCGTGGCCATAAAAGCCCTCATCATCGTTTTCTAGGGCTTCTGCATTGGCAGCCGCAATTATCGGATCATCGTAGAGCATATCATCATTATCGTCGTAATCAAAGTCGTCCAGCACTTCGTCAAAGGACACCATATCCATTGCTTGGCTGATACGGCTTTCGTCAGATACAAGCCCTGGTTGAGAGTCCGCGGTGTGTGCACTTTCTTGGGCTATTGACCGTTCACTGACGCTAGTGGTATGTCCAAGGCGGCCTTTTGCAGCGGACTGATTGGCTGCGTCTGCCAGAGCGTTATGAAAAGCCTCCAGGTTATGCTCCGAGAGGATCCCACTGTGTGAGTTAGCAAGCACAGGGTTCGGCATGTTCCCCGCGATGCTGCCGTATCTCCTTGGGGCGAATCCTTGATGATAATCACTGGCGGTACTCGATACATGCTTCAGACCGCCGCTAGAGCCTGCGTCTATGTCTGAGATTTCAGCTTGTGGCTGGACGGGGGCTGTAGGTTGTTTCCGCTCGTAAAGGTGGCTTGTAGGATCATCAAAAATAGATTCGTCAAACCGCTCCCCGGCATCTTTGGTGTCTAATTCGCCAAATTCTCCATCGTCAAAGTATAAATCATCTTCATCCGGGATGGTTTGCAACGGAAAAGAATCAGCTTTGCCCGGCATTTCAGGTTGAAGCTGAACAGTGGCGGTAGGATGTCTCCGCTCGTATAGATGACTTGCTGGGTCGTCGAAAACAGACTCATCAAAGTGTCCCCCAGCACCTTCGGTGTCTAATTCACCAAACTCTCCATCATCGAAATACAAATCATCCTCATCCGGAATGGTTTGTAGCGGGATACTGGACAGGTCCTTGGACTCTCGTTGAAAAGTCTTCGAAGGGTCCGTGGCATTATCAGGCAGCATTGTATCTGGTGATAGAGATAGAGGCTCCGTTGAACTATGATAGGACTTTTCTTGCTGGGGAGCGGTAGGCTGTTGGCCTTGAAGGGTTGACACGTCCGGCTGAACAGGGCTAGCAACAACTGGAGACAGATTGGGCGCGAGCCATGACTTGTTCCAGATATTTCCGGGGCCTGAGAAATCTTTGAAATCGTCGCCATCATCAGCGTCCACATTGACGCCAGGAATCTCTTCCTCCAGGCCGTCCATATCATCAAACATGTCATTTTCGTAATCGTCGTCAACGTCGCTAAATTCACCGTTTAGGCGCGCTTCAGCTTTTCGCGCAGCTTCCTTCTCTTTATGCTTCTCCTCCAGAAGTTTCTCCTGCGTTGACGAGCCGACGCCATTCATGTCAAAACTGAATCGGGACGCATTGCTCTTGAAGTGTTTTGGTAGTCCCGAGGCCTGATGGGGTAGTTCGATCTCAACGGTATCAGCGTCTTCTACCGCTGTCGTGGCAGCGTCATCCGTCGACTCAATTTCATGACTCGAGTTTGCCTGTTCCTCTGGTACTTTATCAGGGTCCGTTATGGAAGAAGGTAACTTTCTTGCGAATACAGGGATTGCATGTGGATCGCGATCTCGGTTCAAGGGGTCCGTCAATAAAGATGATTGCAGATAGGCTTTGTTTTCGACCTGTAGAGCCCTCTTATCATCCTCAAAATGCTCCCTGAATACTGGCGAGTGATCGTTGTACTTCTTCAGCTGCTCCGACAGAGGAGAATACGGGCTCTTCTCATCATTAGCATGTTCGAGCTGAGCGGCAGTTGATGCGCCCGGTTGACCAACTTGTTCCTGTCGGTGGACTGGAGCAGCAGAGAGCTGACGCCTAGGACGTGGCGCACTAAAGTCATGGACAATCTTCCCTCGTATGCGCGGGTCATAATCATCGGGAATTGGGATGATATTTCTAGAGCCTTTATTGACGTCTTCCGCGCGCAATCCCGCCACCTGGTGAGATCGTCTTTTGGCCAGAAGTGACAACGGATTCAGTAAATGCAGCATGGTTTTGCCCGACCCTCTCTGCGAAACGGGTTCCACCGGCTGCACATCACGATCAGTTTGCCGGCGACTAGTAGGCCCCTCAAACCGATATTCTTTTTGCGGAGCTGGCAGCTTATCTCCCGGAGACACGTCGGGGGAAGTTCGAAAGCGTCGATGGCCGGATGGTGCCATTCCGGGAGAGGTTGAGCGCTTCGACTGGCCGTCCGGGCCCTTGGGAGTCAATCGATCTTTTCCAGAGGAGACCGCAAAAGGCGAACTGGGCTTGGATGCGTCCCCGTGGATCAGGCCTGGTGTTGTAGGGGGCAGGGAGGGTTGCGAGTGATTAGGTTGAGCAATCAGGGATGGCTCAGTATCGCGCTCGTCTGGGCTCGATCGGGGTCGTATATAGTCATCCGAGGAAGGTGGTGCAACTGCAGGCGTGCCGCTCGAGGATGATGGCGCCGGGGCATCGATGGTGGAGACAGAAAGGGTTGTTTTTTCTCCATCGAAGTTCGAGAAATAATCATTCGGTGCCTCCTCTCCTGCGGTGAGCTTCTCGTCAAAGGTCGCAGTCAAGGCTGTCGAATCAGGAATCAGCGGTAGCTGGGGAGGTACTTTCGGGGTGGGCTGTGAGGTGGGAGGAACAGGGGAGGCATTCGACGATCGGCGGCGCCAATACGATAGCATGGCGAACTGCGCTTCGGGAGTCTCGCAGTCTCGCAGGCTCGCAGGCTGCAGCTGTCTCCGTCTGGCTCGGACTCGGTTCGCTCAGGAGGCGCAGAAGCCCATTTTGCTGGACAATCGCTGGTTCCAAGATCTGCGGAGTCTTAGCGGAGAATTCAATCAAGAAACACGGGCGTGGGGCACAGTGAGTATGCAGCCAGTCAAAAGCATCACCACGGTGGCTAAAATTAGGAACTATAAAATCTATAACGAATGGAGTTCACCCTCGAACAATATAAAGATGTTTCAGAAGTCATTAAGTGATTCATGATGTCTAAGCAGTAATGTCAAGGGAAAGTGTGGATGTTTGTAGGACAACGCCATCGGAATTTGAGCGGAGGGAGAAGTGACTCGGCGAGTACCAACGATCATGGAGCCCTGGAATGCCATCCGGAAACAGCTAACCACATTCTTCATCAGTTATCGTTGAGCCCAGCGGGCAAACAAATGAAACATTCTTGAAAGATTTGCCTTATATTTACAGTTGGGTTGTTTATTTACCATATATGCTAGCCTGCTGTATCGATGGTTCAAATATATTCTGTGTCCCCAGGAGGCCATGACGCCATCCCACAAGTTATATGGGCAAAAGCCCAGCGGATGGGATATCATTGCTTGTGAAGTACAATGTACAAATCTTCAGTTAATGCTAATCTACAAAACCCAGGGCCGAAAGTGACATAAATGATGCCCCCAGCCCCTCAATATACGCTAAAGGAGACTCCGGAACACCCAAACAATGTTGTCAACCGAATGCAACAAAATAGCAAGTATCAGACAATGCTTTGTCTCCAGCGGTCAATGACAGCCCGCTGCCCGGGATCAACTTCTTGTCGCATCGTGTTTTGACGGAGGTTGGGTGGCATCGCGTAGCTCAGGTTTCCATTGCCCAGAATCGCGTCGCTGTAGAACGTATTAGGATGTGCCATCGGATAGCCATATGGACCAGCCAAACTTGGTGCTTGGTATTGTGAAAACGCCGCTGCCGTCTTCGGTGGCCCAGCACTGACAGGCAAATGCTGCATGGACATTCGATGATCGAGAGAGCGCTGGTGAATGGGACCAGGAGTCTCCTGCATCAAGGATTGCTGACCGACAGTGGAAGGGCGGGGTATATGGAGAATATCCGCCATACTCCTTCTGTATCGAGGAATCTTCAAACCTGAATTTCGCTTCTCACTAGCCTCCTTCCTGAGACGGGCTCGCCTCTGTGCTAGGGTTTCGTCTTCTTGTGATGGTTCATTCTGGGTATTCTTGTTTTCATCCTCCTTTAAATGATCGAACTCAGCCAATATCTCGGTGGTAAAATCGGTATCGGCCTTAGATATGTTGCGTTCGTGGCCCTTGAGCCGCCTTTGGCGTTGGCCAAGTGTCTCCCCTTCGTTTCCACTATCATTATCGTGGTCCTGAGCGAAAGCAGCGTGCGTCCCTTGCGAATACATAGTCATAGGACGCTGATCAATAGGCTGAGGCAGTGGCTCGCCTCTTAACCGCGCACGCCGCCTACTCAGCGGCTCACTTTCTTCCATTTCCCTCTTCTCCATAAGACCCAGGGGCCGGGTCTCGTCAGTGTGTTGCGCCTTTTCCGGGAAAAGCATGCCGAGAGGGACATCATCATCGTCGTCCTGATCATTAGGATGGGCATCCGGATTCTCCCAAGCGAGGGCAACAGGCTTTTGCCGCCTGTGTTCGCTCTGTTTAGCTGCCACCGCTTCTAGCTGGAGAAGAGTAGATTGCATGCCGACCGCATTAGGTGCCGTACGGCGCCTCTGCTTAAGGTCGTGTTTCCTTTGCTCCAGTTCAGCAATCAACGTAGCTGGTTGACCGGTAAAGTGGAGTTCTTCGTCATCGGTTCCTTCGCTGTCTTCTTCGCTGCTCCCCGAGCTTTCCTCGGAGTCGCCTTCACTTTCAGAACTAGACTCACTATCGCGTTTGCGCAAGGAGGTAGTCTCGTGCGTTTCCGCGGCCGCTGCCTCCGTGGTAGGGTATACATTGTGCGTTGCTAGAGAAGCAGACCGAAAATCGGGTACTGATGGTCGATGACCCAAGTCGAGCGTACTTTTGGGTCGCAGCTTTTTGCGCTGTCCAGACACATCTTTTGAGAGTTTCCCATGTTTCGAGCTGCTGTACACCTCTGGACCTACAGGACCGGCAAATGGATGATCTGTGAACGCAGTGACTGGAGCTGTTGTGGATGCATCAAGGATACTGTCAAGTGTCGCGACTGCTGAAGTCTGAGAAGGATCAATGTCAAGAGTTGCGCTCGGCGGTTCGAAAAAGACACTGGCACGAAGATGCGAGGGCATATCGGCTGGTTGTGCGGTCCGTCTCCGAGCATGGCCGGCGGCCTGGTCTTGTTCAGCGAGCCATGGCGCGGATTTTCTCTTATCAGGCGAAACCGCATCAAGGAGCTGCGTGCGGCGTTTTTCTCGTTGCGTGTGGTCTGGACGCTGGGAGAGCTTAGGTGGCAGATTAATTGTCATTGGAACAGGCGCAGGATAGAAGACCATATTTTCGCCTTCCTGCGGCTGTTTGTATGGTTGGGGTCGGCTGGCGAGGGGAGGCCTGGTCAGTGATACCCGTCGTGCAAGATCGATACCTTTATCCATGGGAACGTAATGAACGCCATCAAAATCATTGAACAAAATTCTGGCCTGGCGGTATGTATCCCCGGATGCCGCCGACAATGGCCGCTCCATCTCGACTTCTCCCATATCTGAATTATATTGTGTGCGCGCGTGTTGGTGCTTGTTGATATCGATCGTGGACAAAGGGACAGCATCCGGAAGCGGAGGAAGGTAAGCATGAGCGAGAGGACGAGTCGTTGGGTTTTCGGGGAATTCTTCGAGCGCATGTTGTTCCGATACCTGAGCCAAACGAGTCCCCGACTGAATCGAATCGCGATGAGACATTGCGTCCTGGGAAGCATAATTAGACACAGAGGCCGAGCCCGCGCTTGAACGTCTTTTTCCCATTTTGCGAATTTCACTCCCGATATCTGCGGAGCTCAAGCTTAAACGTTCAGCAGCGTTCTCCAGCCTTTCCACATTATGAACGTAAGCACCTTGCAAGGACTGAAGCCCAGGGGTCGGATGGTTGAGAGGAACAGAGTGTTCGGTGGTTGGGGTTCGCAGCGTGTCCGCGTGCTTATCGGGGCTACTGGGACTATTGAAGTCCGGCCCTGTTGGACTTTGAGGATCGGCCACTACCTCATAGTCGTCTGACTCTACCATATCGTAGCTTGTCGTTGTCATCGATCGAACCATGGAGCCCAGACTCCGAAAACCGTTGTATCCGTCTGTTTCTGCACGTTGCAGGTGCTCCCCGGCCCCAATATGATCTGCATCCAAAGGGAGTTGCTCGAACGACGTACCGGAATGAGGATGGGCATGCGGCTGCGGCGAGGGTCCCCTGGAATCATCAGAGTCGGAGGGCAGTTCGTGTTCGCCCTGCGCGACGGCGTTGTAGGCCATCTTCGAAAGATGTTGGCTACACAGATACACGAGCCGTGGCCATCCAGAAACGGTGTCTAATTTATTGTCGTGTGACCGAATTCCGCAAGACCTGGCAATCAGAGTAGAGGAATAAAATGATGATGATCAAAGCCCGCCCAGTCTAACAGATAAGGCGTCCAACGATACGAGCTGGCGATGTTCAAGGGAGGAAATCAAGGTGGAAAGGGATCATGCGCAGCGAGGGACGAGAAGAAAAGAGAACGGATGCGCTCAGTTGAGGGCGCGATAAACGTCTATAATAAAAGATCCATCATTATTATTATTATCGCTCTAATGAATGCGGTCTTGGAAGAAAAAGTCCAGAAACCTGGAAGAGCCGACCCCGTCGACCGTTGCCGTTCCAGATCTGGCCAGAGTCAAGCTGCTAATTTTGGATCCTACTGAGGGGCAAAACACTCCTACTCCAGCCCAAGCCCAACTCCTGAATGGACGGCGAAAAGCATCCTCGTGAGATTGCCTCCTTCGGCTTGCCCTCTTCTGATTGAATAATAACAATGCTTTATCTATCGGTCGGAGGGACTCGAGGGATGCGTTCTGCACCCTGCACTGATTACTACTGACTCCAAGTTGGCCTGGGCATCGATCCTCGGGCGGAGGTGAGATAGTCTACCAGATCCACGTCCAGGAGTTCCAGAACTCACGAACCTGCGATGATCGTCTTCAGGAGCATTGATTCGCGCCAGAAAAGTTGATCGTGGTAGATGGTTCTCCCCCGAAGCCTACTTCTTTGCTGCAACCGTCCTGCCGAACCCAGCTTAAAATAATATGTTCCTTATCCGGAGCATACCTATGCGGTAGAAACCGTAGAATCCGGAAACATGGACGTCATAGATCAGTTCTCAACATGACCGCAGTGGATCGATCGCCTTCAGATAGGG